TGTAAATGAAAATTTCAGTTTTCTGCAAAAAAAAAAAAAAAATACACCGAGATCGGCGTTTCCCCCCTTTGTTTTCAGAGGAACTTTCTCCATCCACCTCTGCCATTTTTATGTCCGCCATTGACCTCGCGGGAGATCTGAGCCAGCCGGGACCCGCGCCACAGCGCCCCCTGCAGCCACCGGGGAATCATCGCACCCGCCCTGCCCGGCCGGGAGCCAACAGCGCCCCTGCCGACTGGGACTGTAACTGCACCAAAAGGGAGGGTGTGTCTCTGTAAGGCTGTCACTGAGTTTGGGACTGGGCTGGTTGKTGCTGTTGTTATTGTTRCTTGTTTCACCTTGTTATAAGTATTGTTAAAAACTGTTACTCCCTTTAACCCATATTCTTGCCTGAAAGCCCATGATTTTCAAAGCTATAATAATTCGGAGGGAAGGGGTGGGGTCACATCCACCACTCCAAGGGGGGGTCCCTGCCTTTGTTGGCAAACATCTGTCTTTCAAACCGAAACAACCAAGACCAATTAAAAAATATTCCCTTTTCCTCTTCTGGTACTGACTGAGTATTTAAGCCCCTTTTTTTCTGTTATTTGACAATATTGGACCCTGCTCCAGAGGTTTGGCTGAAGTTRGAAGTATTAGGTAAGAAATTTTAGGTGAATGCATATTTTCTCAAGTTCTGTTGTCTTACTTTGTTGTCCCTGTTTCACAATACTTCCCCTTATTTTGTTTCCTTAAATTAGGTCCTTGCCAACCTATTTTCCACTGTTGGTTTCTTGTCTGCTTTGGCTCCATTCTTGGTCCTTCAGGTTGGAGCCCTGCAATGTTTCTGTTGTTACTGACATTTGTTCTGCTTTCCTTCTCAATGTTTAAGTCCTTCATTTTGAGTCTAATAGCTGGTTCTTGTATAGTTAACATGATGAACCTGAATTTCTTTGCCGAAGAACATTGATTTGATTTCTCATTGAAGAGTAAAATAAATGTATCTGTGTAATTGAGAGAAGTATTTTTTGACAACTAATCCAGAAACTTGTCCTTTTTATCACACTTCTTGAATTTCTTCTGAGTTTGAGTTTAATTTGTAGTAATATTTATGGGCAGTGAAAAGTAAAATTGAAGGAGCTGTGGTGAAAGCATTCTGGAAAGGGACAAGAAAGTATGTAGAAACACAGTGGGCAGTGACAAGGGAAATGGTAGATTCTGTGGGTGTTAAGTTTGACTGCGTGAACCTTGATTTGATTGGAGCTCATGCTTGAGGCTTAAATCAGATGTGAAAGCTGCCTTGACATTTAGCGCACTGGGCTTTTTGTAAGAGATTGACTTTCACCCAAATGTTTTATCATAGTGATGTTAGATTGCTGATGATCTTTTCTTACTGTGTAAAATACTATGCTCTACTACATAACTTGAAAAATAGTCTGGTAGACAGGACAGTGGGCTTGAGTTGGAAGATGCATTGTTTTGCACTGGAAGAAAAGGACTGTGGCCATCACAGACAGACCAGAGATGATGTTTTTATCTACCTGCRGAGGTGCTGCTCATCTTCAGTTGAAGGGTTAGATCCTCCTACACTAGAACTAGCTGCTTTCTAGTGTGGATCTGCCTTGGGACAGCTGTGGGTGGCCACTGAGAAGCACTGGGGGTATGAAGGTACAGAGCTGGTTCAGCAGCGATGACACTTATCCCTTCAGCTGGTACTGAGTGGGCGCTGGGAGGGGGAGGTGTGAAAGTTCTTCCATATCTGTTAGTCCCGAGTGTCATGGTAATGTCTTCAGAAGCCTGAATGAAACAAAATGGACACAASAACTGAGGATTTGCAGGGGTTGTTGAAAGCTTCCCCATATCTTTGTTGCCCTGACTCATTTGTCATGGGGTTCATGGAACAGATCTGAAGCATTTTCATACATTCTCACTATTGGTTTTATTTAGTACCTATGTTTCTTTTCCTTTTCTTTTTTCCAGCTTGCACTTGTTTGTTTTTTTCTTTTCTGAACATAATCTTGAGGTTAAATAAGAGCCAGAGATATCAGTGAGAAGTTACAGCACTAAAAAGTATATTTTCCACAGTGTTTAGTGTTGCAGTGGCAAGGTACATTACACATTTCTAACCTTGCTGATAAGAAATTGTGAAAAGAAGCTGATGGTGTACAGTAGCTAAAATCATGGCTTTGTTTTCGTGCTAGGAATGGAAAAATACTTCTTTCCTGCCCCAGCAAATGCATTTCAGYTGGTGTGTCACAGATTCTGGCACTGTTCTTCTGTCGTTCTGTTTTCTGTAACAAGTTTTATGCTAGAAGTAAAAACAATTTTATAGTACTTTCATATTTGAAAAAATTGCCCTAAAATATGTACCACTTTGTGGCTAACAAATACTGTGCCTTGACCCAAATGCCATGCAAAAACTTGTCACCACTCTSAAAAGGTTACTTGACAGTTCAGGATGTTGGAGGTCTGCTAAGTAAACACAACCATAGCCAGATACATGCTGCATTTTTCTTTAAGGAAAATGGACCATTTTGGTGCCTTAGACAGCATACTATTTATTAATTACAACTTATTCTCATACATCTATGTTTAAAACAGAAAACAGAAATGAATTATACAGGAAAACATAATAATTTTTAAGGTAAAGCAATATAAAACAAGAGTTACAGCTGGTCTTCAGCTATAAACTCAGGTGACTGTGCTGCCATGTATTTTGTACTTGTTCTGAGCCCTCTGCAATATTCTGGGATAGATATGTATTAAAGTGAAATAGAAAACAGAAATTGGAATTTCTTTATTTTTGGTGGTTTGTTCTTCATGCTACACAGAGTACATAGTATTGAAAGCTTCAGGAAAGTCTTAAAAGTCAGACTTCCTCAGATATTTTTTTTGTCTCTAGTGCATTGTTTTATGATCGTGGGTAAGCTGCTATCCTGGCWAAGGCTTGGTTTCCATACTATAGTAATAAACTGTTCAAGTGGCTGATAGAAAGTCCTTTCTAAATTGAGGAGCTTGAGTCTTGAACTTTAGTGACTRCAGTGTGAAGAGCTGTCACATTCCAGAGCTCACTGTCTCTGTTTATCCTTAGTGGTTAGGTGTTTTATCAATAGATGGAACTGTTCCTGGTTGCCTGATTTGGGCTACTCTCACCACTACAACCCATAACTTYGGATCCAAGTCGGTTTCTGTTGACAATTTTCTTAACTGAACTATACCTTTTTTCTTTGATAAAAACCCTAACTTTTTTAGGTTTTTTTTTAAGGTACTATTTTTATGCTCCTGAAAAAAAMCAGTTAATTTCTTAATTTCCACAAATTTCAAGATTTGTGGAGAGAAAAGTGTTTTCTAGTTGAATCATTCTGGTATAATTTTGTGGAACACACTGGTTAGCACAGGCACTTAGCAGAGTTGTCCATTAGTGTGATTGGCTTGAGCTTGTAGACAGAATCCACTCTAGATTGTTCYTTGCTTTTGGGTGGGACGAGCTTTACACTATTGTTTTCACTAACTAAGATATAATCAGGTTAGAGAAAACCAAAGCAGAACTATGACTGAAAATTAATGTGCTATTATAATTCATATAACTTTTCTTTAAAGCATCTTTAATTCATAGGCTGTGGACATTCTGTTATTAAGTCAAGCTCAAAATGAGGTGGACTAGTCTTGGAACATCTTCACTGGGCCCCTTTGTGTGGTCTGCATGCTTTCATGCATTTGTTTAAATGTTCCTGTAGTTTTACACGAAGCCAGTCTGAGASTGGGCCTTTCCCTTAACTGTAGTCTTGGCTAAACTCCCTAACCATGTTGGAGTGGCCATGGTGGTTAAGGTATCATGAAATATAATCATCGTTTTGGTGTGCTTAGTTAYATGGCATCCTGTGTTTGTTCCACAGTTCTGCTGTTGATCCGGCATACAAATAAATGCAATTCATTAGTATGTAAGTGTAAATTGTATAGCTGCAAGAAATTTTGGAAGTTCTGTCTTTGAGCTGAGCCCATGGAAGAAGTTTTTRCCATCCTTTCCTATCTTTCATCTAGAGCTTACTGTCACTGTAGGATGCAGGGCATGTGTTATTGTTCACAAAACAGGACATTTGCCATGGCTTTATTCTATTAATGAGTTTAGCTGAATTTAGCTTTTAGATTGGTAAGAGATTAGCCAAGATGTGACACACTTCCATTTCTACCAGTTCAGTCAATGTTTACTGGAAGATGGGTGACACTAGTTTAAAAAGAATTTGTGTGTAAATTATCTTGGCAGATAGTAAGACATTGTATTTCCACTTCTCGTTATTGACTAAGGCCAGGAAGATTATTTGGTGGAAGTCTTGTAGGTCTGTTGTTGTGTATTTCATTTGTGTGTGAGCTGTGCCTTAAGAACGTTGGAATAGAATTTTAGATGAATGATTAAAAAAAGAATTTGAAATGTATTTTTTATAGCTTTCTATTAAAAATTTTATTGCTCACATGTTTACCTGGTTTTGTCTTTTCAGCATTAATGATTGGAAAAGCAGGATTATTTTTGTTATCAAGATCTGCATGTGGTGCAGCACACATTAGTAGATTGAGAAATTGATTGAAAAAATTGTTGATTAAGAAATCACCATTTTTAGCTGGTTTACTATTTATTGTTTTTTTTTTTCTTTTTCCTAAAAGAGAAATGAATATGAAATGAAATTGAATCTGTAACTTTGCTGATAAACTTCCACAAAAGGAGGAAACTACCATATTCTGGATCCTTTCCTTAATTGTGTTCTATGGATTGGTTCCATCAGATCTGAGACACAGGAGGTTGCTTTATATTGAGTGGTCATAGGCAATTTGAATGGTAAATTTGACAAGAGAGAAGCCAACTTGTCTTGGAGTCCAGGATAATTTGAGAGAAATGCATTGTGTACAAATGTTTAATATTTGTAGAGCATGGCACTGTGGTCATTGAAACACACCACTGGCAGTTTTGAAAGTTGACCTCAGTGCTTCTGTACCATCTGATTGTCATCTACATTTGTGTTTTATAGCTTGAAACAATTGGATGGCAGCTTAATCTTCAAATGGCAGAGTCCATGCAAGCAAAGCTGAAGTCCCCTCAAGCTGTGCTGGAGCTGGGAGTGAGCAATGAAGATTCAAAGGTAAGAAATACMTGTTAGCAGAGTTGGAATAAGTTGTGGTGCTGGCCTTATGTTAAAGTTCTGTTAAAGGCATCCATTGGARCTCTTGTTATTCTGGTCAGTATTTTCATTTCTATGCTTCATAAAGGTTATAGTAATCACTTGGAATTGTGAAATAYTGATATAATAGCATAAATATGCAGTAGACTAAGAACTGTGTACCAGCTCTTTGGGCTGTGACAGGAGAAACAGGGAATATGGTTATTTTAGATCTCTATAATGTTTTTGTAGATAGTTTATTTTTATCACGTGGCATATGATTGTAGTTCTTTTACTTTTAATGCATAATAGGTTGCAACCTTCTACCATGTGTGTACTTGTGTAAGACATTGCTCAGCATTTGCAACCTTTCTGTGCTAATAATGTATTTATATAAATGATGACATATAAGTATGAGGCCACAGGAGCCCAGTATTTGGAGTTTTTAAGGTAGAGTCTTAAGTTCAAGGATTGTGTCGACTGGTGGTGTATCAGTACCCAAACTCACTAGTGAACGTAATTTTTTATTCATAAAGTCTGTATCTTTTGTTAGCCAGCATGTTTCAAATTAGACAATGATTTACTTTTAACCTTATCTTGCTAGTGGAAATTAGAATCTTTAGTTCTGTGTTAGAATCTGAATTCTGAATTAGAATCTTTCTTTCTTTACCTATGAAAAATTCAGTATAAGAAGCTTGAGGGGAAAAATCAGAACTCAGTGCTGCTTTAGCATTGCATTTAAATCACAGTAATTTTACTAATGTGAGTGGAACTTMTGATTTATGGTGAACTGGAAGAGAATACACAGCTTATGTTTGTGCTTCTCTCTAAGACTTGCAGCAGTTGTGGTTTTTTTCAGCATTTTATTGCAATCTGTATTTTTGAAATGCAGATACAGGAACTGTTATGTCCAAGCTGCATTGGTGAGCAGTGAATACAGATTCTGTTCTTATGGCAAAACTGTTAAAAAAATGTAGAGGGAAAAAGGTCATTTACATGTAAGTCAGAAAGTTCTTCTGTGTCATGTACAAACAGAGTTCAGGTAGTGAACTTCTTTATCATTTCCTTTCTGTTTCTTTCTRTGGGTATGTTTAGATACCAAGATCAGAATTACTTTGTGATAATTACAAGCCTAGAATAAACTCATGATGGGCATTTAGATAAAACAGTGCAACAAGAAAACTGATGCTCTCGCAGTACAGACATTAACATTTAATAATCTGGGTTGGTATAAAGATAACTACAGGCTTTTTTTCAATGATGACATCCTAGTATACAAGACTAGGTATACAGTATACAGACTGACTAATATCTGCTAATACAAACAGAAGTGTGGGTAATTTTTCTGGTGTACTTTGCATCTGCATGATCTCTTAGTGCATTAAGTATTGTATCTGCAAAAAGGAGCTACTAAATGCTTCTTCTTTCCTCTCCAATTTTATGTGCGTGCCTTTTGTGCAGAAATGCAGTGTGAATTTAAAGTATTTGTTCTTAATGATTGTATTAATTTTTTCACTTTTTTTTCATAATTCACCAATATAATGACTTGATTTTTTTCAGGAAAGACACAAAATGCTGTTACAGAGGAGCTTTTGTGGTCCGGCTCATTAGGGGGCAGTAGTGCTCTTTGTCACTGATTCTTTGCTTTCTTTGAGATAATGCTCAGAATCATTCTGTAGTCACTCATTGTGGGAAGTGTTTCAGTGTTTTCATTTCTAATCTGTGTATGACGATAGAAGTTTCTCTTGCTCATTTTAAAAAATAAAGCCTATTAATAAAAAAACCATCCTGAACAAGGKAAATGAAATGGGCTATTATTTGAACTCTTGCTAATTAAAATTAATTATACTAATACATTAGTGTTTACTACAAATCAAAGTACTTGACGAACATTTGAATAGTTCTTATTCACAAGATGACATTTAAAATTAGTATTTAAATTAACTCTCAAGGAGAGGTAATCAGAAAACGTGTGGCTACATGGATGTTATTTGTGCATTGAGAAATAAAAAGAAATCTGCTATATGCTGTATAAATATTTATAGAGTACATTTTGTCAGCTTCAGATGAAATGCAGAGTCCCAGAGGAATAAATCTATGGAAATGCAAAAGTAAGGTGTTCTTTGGTTTTCTCAGGTGGTTCAAGCTGCTAGTGACATTTCCATTTCCCAGGAAATATACTGCTTTTGACTAGCAAATTCAGCTCTCATGATTTTTGTTAAACTTTTTTCTTGTGTTTTTTTGTTACAGATTTGCTGCTTGCTTGTGTTCAGACCTGGAATTATGCTTGAGTTAGCCCCAGTTGTGAGCAGGGGGGTGGGTCAGGTGGGCTTCCAGCTCCAGTTGTTCTGTGATCTCAGCTGCTTTGGTTGCTGCTGATGTTTTGTATGAGAAGGGGAAAAATGGTGCTTTCAATTAAAAATCCAATTAACAGCGTTTTATTACAATGATTCATARTTTCAAATGTTTAATTGCATTCAAAATCTGAGGGAAGTGAAATGTCTCTGAACTAGATACACAAAACAAGCTGGTATATTTTTGATCTCCAAGATCTGCTTGCTTCCGTTAAGACATTTTAATAAGTTTAAGTGACATTTAGGAACTGATGTGTAAGATAATCAGCTCTGTATAAGGGGTTTTTTTAATAGTATAATTTGATTTCAGAGTTTTGGACTGTTGATTGCAACATGACAATCTGGAGATTCTGTACAGAGTATCATTATTTTTATGCCTACAGGGTGAAGTGACCTATAGAAGAAGCACAAATCTTATAATCTGTGTTGCTAATTAARACTTTTGATTTGCGAATGAAGATTGATCCCCAAAATTGCTGTGTTTATATAATATTTCTTTCCTCCACTAATATATTTGGCAGCTATCCACATAGACACACAGCCTCATATCCCTTCCCACTGTTAATAGCAGTAATTCCTTAGGCTGTCTAGTCCAGACTATTTTAAACAACTGTGTGATAATTTTCTATAACCATAGGAAGAGCCATATAAATAAATAAATATTGAAATCTATAGAGAGATTGAAGGGCTTAAGAAATGTCACATGGTGCTGAGTATCTTCACAGAGGAATACGAGAAATGAGAGTGAGTTAGAGTGTTGCAATTACTCATCATTAAGAAGATCCGCTAGTAGGAATATTACTATACAAGGTATTTATTATTGTGTATTTTCGCACCTGATCTGTAGTTACAATTTATGCATGAAAATTGTTAGGATAAATAAATTATTTTTGCCCAGTGCTGTCTCTTGATAGTTATACAATTTTCTTCCATAAATCCATTCCACAGATTTCATTAAATTCAGTTACCTAATTGCAATTTGTCTTATGAAAGGCTTTGCTCTTTTCTTGGTTTTCCTTCTTACTTAACCTGTGAATTTGTTCTTAACCATTAAAAACTTCTTGGGGGAACTCTTTTTTTTCACTATAAATACTATGTGGATTCCTTGTGAAAAATCAATATTTTATTTCTTATGTTCTTTCATTATAGATATATTTGAAGAATATTTACAGGATTTTGTCTGCTAATGCAAGACAAAACATAACTGATAATTGTGCTGGTGTTGAACCTGCTCGTGTAATTCTTTTGACAAAAAACAGATAATATTAAAATTCTGCTATTCTAATTTGCTTTTATTTCCTTTTAATTAATTTCTCCTAACTTTTAGATGCTTTAACAGTGAAATGTGTTGGGAGACATTGACAAATTTAGAGAGATGGGCAATTCCTAACCAAATGAATTTTAATTAGGCAAAGGCCAGGTTCAGCACCTGGGATGGGGCAACCCTGGATGTATGTACAGACTGGGGGGCATCAGGCCCAGCATGGCCAGCCAGGCAAGGATTGTCCCATTCTGCTCTGACCTGRGGCAGCCTCAGCTCGAGTGCTGCGGGCAGCTTTGGGCACATTAAGTTATTAGAGAGTATCCAAGGGAGGGCAGCAAAGATGGGGAAGGCTTTAGAGGTAAAGTGATAAGAGCTTCAGCTGAGGTTCAGTTGCTTTGTTCAGGTTGGAGAAGAAGAGACTTAGGAGACATCTCATAGGAGTCCAGAGCTTCCTCGTGAGGAGAGAAGGAGGTGCGGACACTGGACTCTTCTCTGTGGTGACCCGTGACAGGACCTAACATTATGAAGTTGTTTCAGGAGAGGTTTTGGTTGGATTTTAGTGAAAGGTTCTTCACCCAGAGGGTGGTTGGGCCCTGGAAGAGGCTCCCCGGGGAAGTGGTCACAGCACCAGCCTGACAGAGCTTGAGAAGCATTTGGACAAAGCTCTCAGGTGACTCTTGGGGCTCTGAAGGGGCAGAGTTGGGCAGAGTTGGAATTAGACTTTGATGATCCCTGTGGGCCACTTTCAGCTCAGGATATTCTGTGGTTCTATGAAAATCAAACCGGAGTCTGATTACATTTGAAACTGAGCTGATAATACATACTTAACCATTCTAGAATAAGTAGAAGTCTAGAAATATGAAATAATTACRTTTTGCTTGTTGAAATAACAGGAAAAGTTTTGGGATGTTTTTTTCCTTMCAGAATTTCTGTACATTTCTGGACGTAAAAAAATTCAGAACTTTTTGCTTTGTTTACTTCAGTAAGTACATTCTGCTTTTGAAGTTTGCCATTGTGATTACATTTCCCACCTTTTCCAAAAAAACCCTAAGCAAAGGGGAAACAAATCTGTTCTTCTGTCAGAGCTAGATCAATTACTTAATTYACTCTGTAGATTCTGTGCAGCCTGTATGGGATGCAGGCACTTGAATCAATATTTAAGGAAATATGGTGATCCTTCCCCTTCCACCTTGGTTTAGCCCTTTGTTTCTCTCTGAAAAGAATCTGTGTTTGTGGAGTGGCATAACAGTGAGAGTTGGTGGATGCTAGTGATGTGATCCCWCTTCTGAGGCGTGGGAGGTGGCAGAATTGAGCATGTACTCCTTTCACTTGCTATCTCAATCCTTGCCTTTGGGGATGATGCA